CCGTGGGCTGCCGCCCTCGGCTGAGGCCCATCTAACTAGGAACGCTTTGTTATCAGCATTTCGAGGTAGCTGCGCGGCTCCGCGTCCGTTAACCCAAGTTCAGCCGCGAGCGCCAGTACCGCGTGCTCGGCAGCGTCGCGCGAAGCTTCGTCGGCGAGCGTCTCGACTTCGGCAAACGCGCCGAGGCCTTCGACCTCATCGATCGTGAACTCGAACGCCCTGCCGTCTCGTTCGAGACCAAACAGCTCTCGCCGCTTCCGCACCGTCGCGACCGCACGGAAGCCGAGCCGCGTCAGGATCTCGGTCCAGCCGTCCGTTGTCTGCACCGCAAGTGGCAGCTCGAGCTCGAAACGCGTCTTGGCGGCGCTTCCTTGCTTCGGCCCTTTGTAGGTCACAACCGACTCGTCACCGACGGTACGAATCCGCAGCGCCTCGTCGGTCACAGCGAAGTCGCGCGCCGGGTGATTGAAGTAGGCGTCGCATTGCGCGACCACGCCCGTCGCAACGGCGCCAAGCTCCGCGAGCCGCTCGCGCAACGAGCCGGCGTCATCGAGCGGGAACTTGAGTTCGACTTCGAGCATGAGGAGTTGGCGGTGGTCAGTCAGTAGGAAAAGGTGTGAGCCGCGTCGTCCCCGACCGCGGCGGCCTCGCCAGAGGCAGCGTCTTCCTCGTCCGCTCCCGCTTTCCCCCGCAACGCCCCCGCAATCATCCCCCCCACCGCCGCCGCGGCGCCGGCCAGCTTCGTCGCGGGCGTCGAGATCGCAGGCCCTTCATCTTCGGCCTCGTCTTCCTCTTCGTCTTCGTACTCCCACTCATCTTCGTCGGATTCGGCCTCGTCGCCTTCCTCCACTTCGTCCTCAACTTCTTCGTCCCATTCCTCCTCAGCGTCGGCGCCGTCCGCTGCTTCTTCGCCAGCGACGCCATCAAGGTCCGTGCGAAGCCCCGCCAGACGCTTCACGCCCAGCTTCTCGGTGACGGCCTGCGTCAGCTTACCAGCGGCGACCAGCGCGGTCCCCGAGACGCTCGCGGTCTGCGCGGCGGCGCGGAAGACAACGTAGTCGGACGCCAGGATCAGCCCCGACACAAGCATCACCGCGGCGATCAGCAGCGAACCCGCCGTTGCGAAGTTCGCGCTGAGCCACGTCTGCACCATCGCCCCGACGTAGCCGCCGGCTCCAACCAGCGGCCCGGGCGACCAGCCTTGAAACACGATCGCCGACGCCGTCGAGATGCCGACCAGTGACAACGCCCAGCCGAGCGACCTCAAGACGGGCTGGTCGATCTCACGCTTGCCCACCAACAACCCTGCGACGACGCCGAGCGTGCCGGCCGCGTAGTAGGCGCCGAGGCCGAGCATCTCGATCAACGAGTGGGCGACCCACGCGCCCGCGGCGCCGCAGCCGTTGTGGACCTGCTCCACCGGCGGCCAGACGCGTCCCCCCGGCGGGTCGGCCGGGTCGTAAGTCACGAGCGCGATCGCCACGAGCATCGCCACAGCGGCGAGCGTGAGGGCGACCACGTCGAACTTCGGACTACGGTCTTCGAACAACAGGGGAGTGGCTGGAGGCTAGAGGCTAGAGGCTAGACCTTTGGGGGCAGGGCGTGAGCCGTGTCGACCCGACCACGGCGCGCACCACCTCCGCATCGCTTAACGATCGGCCCCCCTAGCTCACGCCCAAGAGGCAAATCGCCGGCGCCGCTAGCAACGTTGAAAAACGTGCCGGCGTCACAACCGGCGCCACACGGCTGACACTCCCAGCCGGCACTAGTAGCAAACTCCCGCTGCGGCGGGCCGCCGCGCCTGCTAGAAGGCGATGGTTCGTCTTTCCCACAACGAGGATCCACTGCACGCATGCGTCGCTTGTCGCTACTTGTGTTCGGAGTCGCGGCAACGCAGATTCTTTCGAGTGCGGCGGCCCAAGAGCCTGCGCCGCTGATGCGCCCTCACTTAAGCGTGCGAACGGGCTTCAACTCGGTGGAAGACTTTCAGCCCGGAGGACGGTTCAATGTCTTCTTCGATCGAATCAATATGGCCGAGTCCTTCACGCCCGGCAATGTTGAGCTGATGAAGCAGCACGTCCTCTTTGCCGACGAGGGGAGCAACAACTGGCTTTCAGGATGGCGGGCGGACGGTTCGCTGGCCGGGTTCGGCGTGTCGGGCGGTAACGAGGTCGTGGGCCATTGGTCGCCCTCGCACGAGACCCTCAGCGCTAGAATGGACGAGGGCCTCCGCAAGACGCTCAGCACGACAAGGTTTGCCACTTACTCTACCGTCGGCCTGCGCTACTCCAGGCTAGAGAGCGATTTCTACTTTCTCGGCCTCGGATCGATCCTAGGCAGAACCAGCGTGGACACCCAAGTCGATCACCACTTGATTGGTCCCCAGATTGGCTTCGGCGCCGTCGCCGAGCGTGACATCTGGCGATTCGAGTCGGTGCTCTTATCGACGCTCGGTTACCAGAGGATCGACTACAAGCAGTGGGGAATCTTCGGTGAAGAAACGATCCCCGGCGCATTGAACCGATCGGCGACAGCGAGAACGACCGTTTCCGACAGGGAGTACGGCGAAGAGCACGTCGGTTGGCTTGGCGAGCTGCGGCTGACGGTGAGCTGTCGGCTCTCACAGCAGTTCCGCATCGACGGCGGTTGGCGTGGCGCGCTGGCGACTCAGTTCCACGACGCCCTCAACGCGACCGCGTGGAACGCCCCCGACTTTGACATCAACCCCCGGGATGGTGAGACCCTGTTCTACGACTACTGGACACTGGGCCTGACGTACGAGTTCTGACAGGCCCTACTTAAACACATGCGTCGGCTGCAAACGCCCGTTGCCGCGGGGCTTCATCAGCGCGATCAGCCGACCGCTGGCGTCGAACGCCGCCATTTCGTCCCCGCGGGGCGCCTTGGGGCGATCGAGAAAGCGCCCGTTGTGAAGCTCTTGGACCTCGGTGTAACTCACCTCGATCCGCGGCAAGTTGGAAACCGCTAGCGCGGCCGGTAAGAGCAGGGCGGTGACAGTTTCCTCGTCGAGGGCGTCCATGTGCAACGCATCCTCAACGCGGAACTCGCCGATCTCGGTCCGCTCCAGCGCCGACATCACCGCCGCGGTGCCGAGCGAGTTAGCGAGGTCGCGGCCGATTGCGCGGACGTACGTCCCGCTGCCGCAGTGGATGTCGAGCACCAACTCGGGATACTCATAACGCACGGCCGACAGCTCGTGAACACGAATGCGTCGCGGCTGCATGTCGGGCGCGGCGCCGGCGCGGGCGAGGTCGTAGGCCTTCTCACCGCCGATCTTGATCGCGGAGTAGGCCGGCGGGGTCTGTTCGATCTCGCCAACAAAGTTCGGCAGCGCCGCTTCGATCTCCGCGAGCGTCGGAATCGGAGCGTCGGGCAGCTCTTCACTCGGCAACTCGATGTCGTCGCTCGGGCTGCGGCGGCCGAGGAGGAACGTGCCACGGTAACGCTTCGGCTGCCGCTGGACTTGTTCAATCAGCCGCGTCGCGGGGCCAACGCACAGCACAAGAACGCCCGTCGCGATCGGATCGAGCGTCCCCGCGTGCCCCACCTTCGCGGCCTTCTCGCCGGTCGCCTTCGCGTGCTGCTTCAAGAGCCACTGCACGCGATTGACCACGTCCCGCGACGTGACGCCGGCGGGCTTGTTGATGTTGAGCAGACCGAAAAGACTAGCCACTTAGAAGATTGGTTGTGAAATGACGAAGCACGAATGACGAATGACGAACCTCTCGGATGGATCACGACGCAGCCGACAGGTTCGTCATTCGTGCTTCGTCATTCGTCATTTCGATGCTAAAGCACGACCGCCAACGCAAACCCATCATGCCCCTTCGCCCCAACCGTCTGCACGACCGTTGAAGTGACGCGTGGCTCGTGTTCGAGCATCTCGATCAAGCGGCGGCAGCCGAGGACGTCCTCGTCGCGGCTTTCGGAGTCGGCGAGCTTGCCGCGGCGGACGACGTTGTCCACGACGATCAGGCTGCCGGGCCGCGTTAGCTTGAGGGCCCACTGGAAGTACTCGGGGATCGACGGCTTGTCGGCGTCGATGAACACCAAGTCGAACGGCCCGGCGCCCTCGGCTTCCAACTGCGGCAGCGTATCGATCGCCATCCCGACGCGTAGGTCCACCGAGTCGATGACGCCGGCGCTCTGGAGGTTCGACTGGGCGACCGTGGCGTGGTGCGGGTCGGCTTCGAGCGTCACGACGCGGCCGCCGTCGGGCAACGCCCGGGCGAGCCAGATCGTGCTGTAGCCCCCCAGCGTGCCGACCTCGAGCACTTTGAGGGCGCCGACAGACTTCGCCAGGACATGCAGCATCTGCCCTTGCAGCGGCGAGACGGCGATCTCCGGCAGCCCCGCCGCGACGCTGGACGCTAGAGCGCTGCTGAGGGCGTTGTCGTGCCCGGCGAGACGGGGGGCGACATAGTCGTCAACGGCGGCCCAGGGTTCGTGAGACATGCGTCAGGGAGCGAAGAGGGGTCAGTGTACGAGCGGCTTTGAATAAAGGATAACGGAGGGACGACAGGGGCGGCAGCGTCCCGCCAGAAACCTTGCAATGTTGATTGTGGGAGGGGGCTCCAGACCGCGATTACGGTATCCCTACCGAAGCGGCCCCTACCGAAACGGTATGGTGCGCGTCATCGGCGTCTGGAGACGCCTCCCACNNACCCACAGTTTGAAAACATGATTTTGCGAGACGATCTCAACCTCAGCCGATTGTGAGAAGCCGACTTGGCCGAAGCCGACAAATCTGACGAACCCGTTGCCGAAGAAACCCTCGCCGAGGTCGCCGCCCGTTGCGGGCTGGGCTTCTCGCGCGAGGCGATGTCGCGCCTCGACAACTATCGCCAGTTGCTGTGGGACTGGAACGAGAAACTCAACCTCACCCGCCACACGACGGTCGAGAAGTTCGTTACGCGCGACCTGTTCGACACGGCGCAGCTCTCGTTATTGATCCCTAACGGCGAGAAGGTGCTCGACATCGGTTCCGGCGGCGGTGTGCCCGGTATCCCGCTGGCGATCTTACGGCCCGATCTCAAAGTCTACCTCTGCGAGTCGGTCAACAAGAAGGCGAACGTCCTCTTCGACATGGTCGAAAAGCTGGGCCTCGACGTGACGGTTTACGCCGCGCGGGTCGAGGCCGTTGTCGAACGCAGCTCGCAGGCGCCGAAGTTTGACACGCTCATCGCGCGGGGCGTCGGCCCGCTGTGGAAGTTCATGTTCTGGTTGCGACCTCACCACGAGCAGTGGAAGCGGCTGGTGTTGCTCAAGGGCCCGAGTTGGCCCGATGAGCGCGGCGAAGCGCGGCACCGCGGGCTGATGAAGGGATTCGACCTTCGCCGCATCGCCGAGTACGAAAACCCTCACAACGGCGCCGTTACAACCGTGCTTACAGTCACCCGGGCTGAGAAGCCTGCGTCTGGCAAGCCGGGCAAGCGGCGCTAGTTTTATTGAATGTAGCAGTTGTGTATCCGCTGGCGCCCCGCAAGCAGTCCTTTGCTGGCCAACCGGCGGATGCTCCGGTAGATTGGCGGTGTCGATGTTGTCGCGGCCGGTGTCGGCCGACCCCTACGACTCCGTCTCATCACGAAGGAGAACCCCATGGCCGACAAGCCTGAAACCCCCGAATCCAAGCCCGCCCAAGCCCAACCCGAAACCGCCGCGCGTCAGCGTGTCGAGGTCGAGGACAAGGACGCGGTCTGTCTTTACGCCAACTTCTGCCGCGTGACCGGCACCCCCGAGGAGTTGATTCTCGACTTCGGCCTCAACTCGCAGCCCTACGGCGTGCCGACCGAGCCCGTCCAGGTCAAGCAGCGGATCGTCACCAATTACTTCACCGCCAAGCGGATGCTCCAGGCCCTGCACCTCTCGGTGCAGAGGCACGAGCAGGCGTTCGGCGTGCTCGAGACCGACGTCCAAAAGCGCGTCGTCAAGCAGCAGAACTGATCGTCGCGGGCTGTTTGAATCGAACCGGTTGAAACGATTCTTCCGGCAGTCGGGCGGCCAGCGCGCCTCAGCGTGACCTACGTTTATAGCGGCCCGGGAACCGTGGTTCCCGGGCCGCTTTTTTCGTTGGTTGGCTGGGGCAACTTGCTGTGCGATCGATCTACCTCGACTACAACGCGACCACCCCTCTGGCGCCCGTAACGCAAGAGGCGATGCTGCCGTACCTGGCGGATCGTTTCGCCGACCCGCTCGGTGAGCACACGGCCGGCCGCGCGGTCGCCGAGGCGATTGAAGACGCTCGCGCGAAACTGGCGATGGCGATCGGCGCCGCGCCGGACGAGATCGTCTGGACCTCCAGCGGCACCGAGGCGTCGAACCTCGCGCTCCGCGGCTTGATCGAACCCGTCCTCCGTGCCGGCGAAACGCCGCACTTGATCGTCTCCGCCGTCGATCACGCCGCCGTCCAAGGGCCGGCAAGGTTCTTGTCACGGCTCGGCGCCGACTTAACCGTCGTTGAAGTCGATGAGTGCGGACACGTATCGCCCGACGCGATCACCGAAGCACTACGGCCCTCGACGCGGCTCGTGAGCGTCGTCCACGCCAACGAAGAGATCGGCGTCGTGCAGCCGATCGCCGAGATCGCGACGATCTGTCGTCGCGAAGGCGTCCTCTTCCACACTGACGCGGCGCAGTCGCTGGCGAAGTTGCCGCTCGATGTGCGTGAACTCGACATCGACCTGATGAGCCTCTCGGCCCACAAGGCCTACGGCCCCAAGGGCGTCGGCGCGCTGTACGTGCGACGCGGGGTCCATGTCGAGCCGCAGCTCTGGGGCACAAGCCACGAGTCGGGCCAACGCGCCGGCATGCCGAACGTCGCCGGCCTCGTCGGCTTCGGCGCGATCGCCGAATTCGCCCAGCAATGCCTCGGCGATTCCACGCAGCGTTTGCGAATGCTCACCAATCGACTCGAACAACGATTGATCGCCGGCGCCGAAGGCGCGCGTGTCTACGGACCCTCCATCGAACACCGGCTGGCGGGAACGCTCTGCGTCGCCCTGCCGCGTGTCGCGGCAACGGACCTACTCGCCGCCGTGCCCGAGCTCTGCGCCGCCTCGTGCGCGAGCGGCGACCCCAGCGTCGGCGTTTCCCTCAGCCCAACGCTCCGCGCCATCGGCGCCGAACCCGCCGAGGCCGCCGGGGCGATGCGCCTGTCGCTCGGTTGGTACACCGAAGAATCGGAGATCGATGCGGCCGCCGACGCTCTGCTAGCGGCGTGGGAATGCCTGCGGTCATAGTTCGCAGACTACCGAAGAACCGGACGCTAAGGCGTGCCGGCTGATGGAGTGGCGAACCTCTATCCGCCCCGATCAGCCGCGGGGCCTTAGCCCCCGGTTCGGCCCTTCATCCGTGCCCCGCCGTGCAATCCGTGGCTCCTATAGCGTACTTCATAGTGCCGTAGCGTCTCGCGCAGAGGCGCAGAGTTGGATGCCTTCAAGACTCACGCAAAGCCGCCAGGCGCAAAGACAAAGTCGTTGAGAAATTAGCGCAGCCGCAAACGATCAAACAGCAACGCGTTCTTTGCGGCTTAGCGCCTTTGCGTGAGTCTTGGAAAGCATCCAACTCTGCGTCTCTGCGTCTCTGCGCGAGACTTCCCCACGTTGC